AGTGAGGTGGCGAGTTTTGGGCATGGATTGATCTCGTTCCAGCGCAGTGATGATTCTCCTCTGCTCGTCTGTGTCAGTGGCAAAGCGGTGTGCACGCTGGGCCCGCTGGCGCTCCTCTGCAGGGCTTGTGGACACCTGGCGCGCAACAGCTTGGAAAGGTGGACTTGCAGGCTCTGCAGAGGTCCGCGCCCCGGGCTCGACAGCGTTCGCCTGGAGGTCGGCCGTGGAGGCTACGATTCGTCTGCATGCGCCTTGCTGGAGGGCCAGCCTCCCTCGGTAGAGGCCTCGTCGAGCTTGGCAGCTCAGGGCGACGCCCCGGGCACGTCTCAGGGCGATGCCCAGGCAGTGCAGGCTCCCAACGCGGAGCCGCCCCCGCCCAGAGCCCGCGGCCGCGCCCCGCCACAGGATCCTGTTCGTCGTTGAATCGCTGGAGGCTCTGTCCGAAGCGTTTTTTTTTTTTTTTTTTTTTTTTTTTTTTTTTTTTTTTTTTTTTTTTGTTTTTTTGTTTTTTTTTGTTTTTGTTTTTTGTTGTTGTTTTTCTTCCTTCTTTCACAGCTCCCCTCAGGCCAGGCGGGGTAGCTCGCAGAGGTGGCGAAGGCCCTCCGCCTAGAGGGGGGCGAGACGCCTCTCGTCAGAGCGGTCCGCGCCAGCTCGGTGGAGTCTGGAGACTCCGACCGAGGTCTTTGTTTCGGTCCCCTGGGGTCTCTCGCTTTGCGTCCGCCACCGCCAGGGGCCCTCTTCCAGGTCAACCCTGGGTGATCTTCCTTGGCGACGTCCTCATCACCATTCCCCTGGCCGTTCTCCTCCTCTTCGACTCAGCCTGAACGCGAAGAAGGTTGTCCGCGCCACCTGCCACTTACGCCACCGCATGACCACGGCCAGAGGCGGGTGGCGCCACCCGAACAGTGCCCAGAAAGGTAAGGCATGACCAGCACACAGAAGGCTGGCAGATACGAAAGCCGTGCGGGGCATGGCGCAGCGCTGCTCTAGAGCGGTAACCCCACCCCCGCACGGATCAAGGAAGCAGTGCGCAGCGGATCCTCCAAATACCGCCACGCACGATTGACCTGAAAACGTGCGGGAGCACGCGTGATGCCCGCGAGGACTCGAGCACCCCGCGTACCTGATGCAGGGGGGCCACGACAGCCCTGCGACAGGTTCGCAGAGATCCTAACCCCTCCCAGCCCGCACACCACGCACACAGTACACCACAGCCTCCGCCCCCCGTCCCCTATGACGGCAAAGGGGTGCATGACATGCGGCCTCTCATCCGCAAGCTGCACACGCACAGAGGCAAGACCGGCTCTCGACAGGCTGCGCGGCGTGACTGGAGGCGGGGGCTCCACCACTATGTCGGGCACAGGGCGGTCCACCGCACCCAGGCCACGAGCCTTGCGCAACCGACGAGGGACATGTTCGCAATCGACATCACACATACGAGGCCCGATGCGCGCGACCCAAGACGCCCATTGAGAGAGCACAAGGGCCTTGGCGCTACGAACCTTGCGGAGCTCAGGATCAATACGGACTCTCGAGGTCACCCACTGAGCCCATTCATCGGCATGCTCATTGCCCACTTTTTCAAAGCGCGTGGAGAGCCCAGACTGGATGCGCGCCTCGGTGCAGTGACCTTTGACCTTGCGTAGGTCGATGCATTCAATGCCGCCCCAGTCATCGATGCGTCGCCAGACCTGGACCCATAACTCAGACCAGGCTGCACGCGCCGAGCAACAGTACGCCTTGCCACGCTGATGCGCTCCATCGTGGACAAAACCTGAGCCGGTGTAACAAATACTGCCTGGTGCAGAGTGCTGCAAAGCACGGTTGAACGCAAACAGCTCAGCACAGTCAATATCTTGACAAACGATCTGGAGGGTGCCGCACATCACCGAAGTAACCTTGAAAGGATGTTGCGGCTGCACACTGACGATGGCCCAGCCCGCAGCCTGGGACGCGGGCGGCAAGTGCTGGTCCATCCAGCTGGCGTCAAGAAAAACGTGCCCTGCCATCACGGTAGGTCCTCCGCCATCGCCACCATCATCATCACCATCGTCATCGTCATCGTCATCGCCATCATCGTCATCATCACCAACATCATCAGCATCATCATCACCACCACCATTATCATCATCACCATCACCATCACCACCATCATCGTCATCATCATCATCATCAGCATCATCATCATCATCATCATCATCATCATCATCATCTTCATCTTCACCATCACCATCATCACCATCACCATCACCATCACCATCACCATCACCATCACCATCACCATCACCATCATCATCATCATCATCATCATCATCGTCATTATCATCATCAACAGCGTCAGCATCATTATCATAATCGTCACCATCACCATCACCACCATCCTCCTCCTCCTCATTATCAACATCAACATCAGCATCAGCAGCAGCAGCATCAGCATCATGATCAGCATCATCATCATCATCATCATCATCATCATCATCATCATCATCATCATCATCATCATCATCAGCAGCATCCTCGTTATCATCATCTGCGAGAAGTCTTCATCCTCCCTCCCTTCCCCACTCTCCCCCTTCCCCTGCTCCTGTCCCCTCCTCCCTCCATCCTCCAGCCTCCTCTTTCGCCTCCTTCTCATCATCCTTCTCCTTCTCCTCCTTTTCATCCTCCTCCTCGTCCTCCTCCTGCCTCTCCTCTTCCTCCTCCTCCTCCTCCTCCTCCTCCTCCTCCTCCTCCTCCTCCTCCTCCTCCTCCTCCTCCCCCTCCGCCTCCTCCTCCTCCTCCGTCCTGCGTCCTCCCTCTTCCCCTCCCTCCCTCCCTCCCTCCCTCCCGCCCTCCTTGCCTCCCTTCCTCCCTCCCTCCCTCCTCCTCGTCCTCCTCCTCGTTATCCTAGTCCTCCTCGTCGTCGTCGTCGTCGTCGTCGTCGTCGTCGTCGTCGTCGTCGTCGTCGGCTTCGTCCTCCTCCTCCTCCTCCTCCTCCTCCTCCTCCTCCTCCTCCTCCTCCTCCTCCTCCCCCCCGCCTTCCGAGGCCGGGGAGCTCTGGGGTCGCGGCGGAGCCTTCCGCCGCGGGTGCCGCCTGCCCGAAAAAGGAGGGCAGCCCACGGGGGGCGCTCGCCCTTCCAGGAGGGGCGCCTCCCGCAGGGAGGAGGGCTGCCTGCACGGGGTTGTCCCCGAGGGGGCTCGGGGGCGCCTTCCAGGAGGGCGCCTCCCGCAGGGAGCGCGCTCGCCCTTCCAGGAGGGCGCTCGCCCTTCCAGGAGGGCGCTCGCCCTTCCAGGAGGGCGCCTCCCGCAGGGAGGAGGGCTGCCTGCACGGGGTCGTCCCCGAGGGGGCTCGGGGGCGGGAGGGTGTGCTGCAGCACTGTTGGTGCATGCCGGGTTTGCTCTGGCCTCGGTCCTGCCCCTCGTCCCTCGCTTCCTCCTCCTCCTCCTCTGCCCCCTCCCTCCTGCTCCTCCTTGCTTTCCCCTCGTGATGCCCGGCCTCCTCCTCGACCTCCTTGTCCTCCTGCTCCTCCCTTCCGTCCTTCCCTCCTTCCTTTCTTCCTTAGTTCCTTCCTTCCTTCCTCCTCCCTTCCTTCCTTCCTTCCTTCCGTCCGTCCGTCCCGTCCGTCCGTCCTTCCCCCTCCCTTCCTTCTTTCCTTCCTTCCTTCCGTCCTTCCTTCCTTCCTTCTGTCATTCCTTCCTCTTCTTCATCCACAATTGCAAAATATGAATACTACTCGGCTCTCGCCCCTGAATGTGTCCTGAGAGTCTTCGCCCCCCTCCGCTTTCACACAGGATTTGCACCAACTGGTTTGTCATACGCTATTTACAATGAGTTACAGCTTTTGTCGAACATTGTGCTCTCGCTACAGCGTGGGCTTCATTTTCGGATCGGCGCTGTGCTCCCGTCGCTCAGAACGGCGCTCCCGCCCCAGCGTGGGCCACTTTTCCGGATCCCACGGGCCCTACAGATCTCGCCAGTCTCGCAGGCCCCAGAAATTCCACATGACCCACGGGTGTCGAAGGTCCTCCCATAGGTCCCACAGGTACCACCAGTCTGACAAGTTCCACAGCTTCCACAAATGTCGTAGGTCCCGCATGTCCCACCAGACCCGCAGGTCCCACGGGTCCCAGAGAAGTCGCGTGTCGCACTGGTCCCACAAGAGGTCCCCCAAGTCCCGCCAGTCCCGCCGGTGCCACTGGTTCCACAGGTCTCTCAATTCCCGGAGGTCCCACAGGTCCCGATGGTTCCACGGGTCCCACGGGTGTCGCAGGTCTCACAGGCCCCGGAGGCCACAGAGATCCCCCAGGTCCCACAAATTTCCCTTGTCCGACAGCGCAGAGCACGATGGGGTCCTTTGTGAGGGTCCAGGTCGGCTATGATATGCGTCCGCGGATAGAGATAAAGCAGCGCAATGGGGAGGGATGTCAGAGAAGGATCGGCAGATATGGAGCGCCAGCACCTAGCTTGTCCCGTTCCTCTCGTCGTCCTCCTCCGTCTCCTCCAACTCTTCCCTATATTTTCTCGTCCCCAGCCTTCTCGCGAGCGCATGCTGGCGGCCTGTGTTCCTCAGACCCCCTCTCCCTTCCCCTCCTCCTGTCCCCTCCTCTCTCCCTCCTCTAACCTCCTCCTCCTCCTCTTCTTCGTCTTCTCCTTCTTCTTCTTCTTCTTCTAATTCTTCTTATTATTCTTCCTATTCTTCATATTAATATAAGTATGATTATTATTATTATTATTCTTACGTTTCCTCTTATTATTATTATTATTATTGTTCCTCTTGCTCCTACTCCCAATCCTCCTCATCCTCCTCCTCCTCCTCTAACCTCCTCCTCCTACTCCTCCTCCTCCCTCTCTTTCTCCTCCTCCTCCTCCTCTCCTCCTCCTCCTCCTCCTCCTCCTCCTCCTCGTTCTCTTCCTCCTCCTCCTCCTCCTCTTCCCCTCCTCCTCCTCCTCCTCCTCCTGCTCCTCCTCCCCCTCCTCCCTCCTCCCACAGCGGGTCCTCCAAAACACAGGGGACCGGGGCCTCGTAGCTCGCGGCGCCGTAAGGGTTGCCGGATGGCTGCTCCGTCTCCTCGCAGGGCTCGGAGCGGAAGTGGGGGGGGCGAGAGGGACATGGGGCGAGAGAGAGAGGGGCGGGGAGGGGAGAGGGGAGGGGGAGGGGAGGGGGTGCGAAGGGAAATGGGGGGGGAGCGGGGAGGGGGGGAGGGGGGAGGATCGGGAGAGGGGAGGCTGGGAGCGAGGAGAGGGCAAGCACCATGTCCTTATCTTTGGTATATACCCTCGGTCTCCACCGCAGCCGGCCGATGGGGACCGGAGCCGGGCCCTCCCATCCCAACTGAGCAACAACAATACACTCAAAACTTGTATTACGAAGTCTTCTGTTAAGAAATTGAGACCCAACTTCGATGGATTTCTTAACTCCGGTGCGAGACCCAGCTTTGGCCCCAGACTTTCTGAACAAATCTGGTGTTGCACAGCTTTGGCCCCAGCTCGGCCCCAGCTTGGGGGAGGGAGTGTTTTTTAAACAAAAGATTTGAGTGTACAACGTCGATGCTTGTGCGTCTCAGCGTGGACATTCGGTCGCCCATGCTGCCAAATGCGCGGCAAAGACGGGGCGGGAATCACATCCCGCGCGGAGCGCCGCCACGTCGCTCTCGCCTCGGCGCCGCGCTCCTTCTCTTTGAGAGCTGCTCCCCCGCCCGGGCGCGGCGCACATTTTCTGTCGCGCGCGTGGTCGTCGACGCGCCAGCGGGCGAGTAAGGCTGCTCTCGCCTCGGCGCCGCGCAGATTTCGGCCTTGAACGTGGCCTCCCCGCCTCGGCCCGGTGCCTATGAATCACTCGCCAATGTTGGCGGGCCCGCGCGAGTGGGCGACTGTCGCCCTCACACGCTCCGTGCGCATGCGGCTCGGGAGGGACGCTCCAGAACGGGCGCGGCGCACGGTGCGCTCGCCGGAAGCGCAGGAAGTCGACAGCGGCAGCGTGGCCGCGCACGAGCGGGCGAAGTGCCGACCACACCCAGACGCCGCGCAGCTTGCGAGAGAAGTTGGCAGTGCTGTGTCAGCGCGGCGCATGCGTCGTCTTCGACGTGCCCATCGGAAATTTGTGCCATTTCCGCCCCTGCGCGGCCCGCGTAGTTTTCTCTTCGCCAAGTCGTTGGAAGCGGGACCGCGCGCGAGCTCCTTCTGTTTGCGACGTGGAAGCGGGTTCCAGTCCAAATTTCAAGTTGTGCCCCAATTAATTGCATGTCGTGCGAGGGAGGGTGTGAGTAGGCGGAGTCCACTGACTCGCTCGACCTGGCACATTTGATCTGACATCCTACGCCTCCCACCTATCCCTTCCCATTGCGTTGAATCCTTTTCGATTCGCCGACTGGGGTGTCCTGGAGGATATCGATGCCCAAATGGTAATTGCAGGATTTCAGACATCAAGTAATGCGTAACTTCAGGAGCTCTTTGATCCTGCCGCCCCCAGCCATCCGAAAGCTTTTGGCTGGCAATGAACTCTGCACGCCCCCCGGTTCGCCCTGTCCTTGTCCTTGTCTTTCTCCTCCTCCTCCTCCTCCTCCTCCTCCTCCTCCTCTCCTTCCTCCTCTCCTTCCTCCTCCTCCTCCTCCTCCGTCTCCTCCTCCCCTTCTTCTCTTCCTCCGCTCGCGCTCGGTAGATGTAGTACTGGTAGATGTAGTGCTGTTGGTAAGCTTACTACTATTAATATTCGAACTGGGGCGTCCAGAATTATTGTCCCATGATTGTTCGCCATGCTGGGTTTTGTTGGATGGTTGCTTCTCGAGGCGGATGACATCCCCTAGGCTACCCTCCTCAAGAGAGGAATCAAACGCCTGCAATGTTTAAAACAGCTTGTAGCGCAAGTCCATGCGCTTCCCCTCGGGTCGTATCGTCGTAGTCCCAGCGTTGGTCGTAGGAATATCTCTCGTCTGCGCGAGAGCAGGACAACAGCGGCGACGGCGGCGACGACAACGACGACAACGACGACGACGGTGACGGCGGAATATTTATTTGCCAATTACCGTGGGGTGTCGGCAGCCCTGAATTAGGCTCCCAACACTATTTGTGTGCTCATCTTTTGGTGGTGTCAAAAGCCTATCGCGGTCAATCGGGCAGGGGAGCTTCCGTACACAATTCGGAAGAAGCGTGTAGGAGGAGGAGGATTAAGAGGGTGAGGAGGAGTAGATGAGGAGGAGCAGGAGGAGGAGGAGGACGACTGGGAAGGAAAGGGAGAACGGGGAAGGAGGAGAAGGTGGAGGAGGGGAAGGAATAAGAGGACGAGCGAAGGCTGGAGAAGGGGAAGCGAGGGGGGCGGCAGCGACTTTGCAAATGACTCGGATCCAGAAATGCAGTCCGCCCTGGGCGACAGCACCAATATCTGAACGACACAAGCAAGACACCGACCCCGAGATGTGGCCAACGATGCAGCAGGAACGCTGAATTATTTGTTGGGGGACCAGAGATTTTGTTTCTCAGCTTCTCTCGTGTCTCACGCCGGCTCCGCGAAATGGAGCGGCGCAGTCAGAAGGTATCTTCCATTTGCCTCCCCTCTTCGCTCCTGCGCACGCGTGCTGGCAAGAGGGCCGTGCCATAGCAGTTTTCGTCCAGGCCGTCTGACGAGCTGGCGAGGCCAGCGAAAGTTCACCACAGAGTGCCTGCAACACCAGTTATCACATACATCACAGGCTTGAGATCGTCAATTGCTTCATTGTGCGGTTGAAGGCACGAGGATGTTCCGAGTGGTGGCGAATCAATGCCAAAACTTTGGGCATCGTGTTTTTGGGAAATCAGTGCGCGAGAGATGCGGGGACACGCTGGTACATGTCTTTCAGGGGGGAAGACTGCACGGTCGGGAACTTTTGAATCGCGTGTCGCGCCGCTCCGCGGGGCGGGAGGCTGGGAATGGCTCGAGACGTTGACGCCTGGAGACTGGGATGTGAATAGCGTGTCGCGCCGAAGCGTGGTGGGCCAGAACTGGCGGCGCGACACGCTAACCAAAAGTCCCTGACCGTAATTAGCACTCATGGAGTCACTGTAGAGAGAACGGAAAAGGACGTAGGGGATGGGAGGGCGGAGAGATCGGATGGGGAAGCGAACTTCATCCATCCTAGATCCCCGACGTCATGATTTCTCGCAACGTCGACCGCTGGAAGTCTCGACCCATTTCCCGAGACCGGCTTCTCATCCTGAACCGTTCTTTGACGGTGCCGAAGTCCGGTGAGGGTCACCAAAGGCCGAACACAGCCCAAACACTGCCCGTCGCGATTTTTCCTGACCCGAGGCTGTTTGGGAGCCCTCGATTGCCCCAGGGCCTGAAAGAAGGCCCCCCTGGACGCCGAGGTCGAAACGCCACGAGGCTGCCATGCTTTTTCCGGGGGCGCGCAAACATGGACTAGCGATCCACGGATTTGGCGCGCGGTCGCCAAATCCATCGATCGGGGGAGGTGCCCTCCCCAAAGCGCGGCCGGTGCCGCCTCGCTCGGTAGCGGAAACCTGCGAGTTCCCATGGAAGCGGGATCCGTCGCTAATCCACGCCCCCTTAAAATCTATGTTCGCAATCGCCTGACTTTTTTGTCCCCCCTCCGACGCCAGGAGGGCCCCTCACTCCCGCCCCCCTCCTTCTGGGTTGGCGAGCGCTGGCGGCGCGCGCCCGGCGGTGGGGCGAAGGGATGCGAGGGGGGGCGGCATGCCTTGGCGGCGCGCACAAGGGGATAGAGGGGGGGGGGAGGGCTTCTTAGAAGGAGGCTGCTTCTTAGAAGGCGCCGGCCTTACATCTATACATAAGGCCCACGCCTTCTAAGAAGCAGGGGTCCTTCTAAGAAGCCCTCCACCCTCCCTCCACCCCCCTTTGCGCGTGGCTGAATGCCAAGGGGACAAGGCGGGGGATTGCGACAGGTGCCCCTGGCCCGAGGCGCCCCCCCCCTTCCCAGCGATTTCCGCTGTATCTTCAGACCCCTGGGGCCCTCTGGGCCTCGTGATCCCAGAGATCCAACGCATTGAAAAAATCAAGACTAGGGGAACACAAAGTGGCATAAACATAAAAACTCGGAGGTCCGCGCGGATTTCTCGGATCGGCGCTGGGGCCCCCCGGCGGCGCCTCCGGCGCCGCCCCTGGCGCGCTCCGCGCGCCAGGGAGGGGGGTCCAGCGCCGATCCGAGAAATCCGCGCGGACCTCCGAGTTTTTATGTTTATGCCACTTCTTGTCCCCCTAAAGACGGAGGTTGTGCTCCATCTTCGGCCTCCAGGGGCCCTCGCCGGGCCCCGGGACCGTCAGAAAACGACCCAGGACGACAAACTGGTCTTGGGAATGGGTCGAGACTTCGGGGGGCCGCGCATGGACAAACTCACGACGTCGGATCCCTGGGAGGGGGTGCTCTCTGGAGGCCGCAGCGGCCTCCCTGGAGATCCCGGGGGCACCTTGGGGCCCCGGGGCACTTTTGGCAGCACCCCGCGCGGGGGCTTCTCAGAACTCGTGGGCGAACAGTGTCGCCGCGCCGACTTAAAACAGGGCTAGGATCGGGATAAATCGCTCCAGAGCGTTCCGGAGCGCTCTCAGAGCGTTCCGGAACGCTCTGGAGCGGCCGCGGCGCCCAATACATCCTCCAAACCCACCGACTCTCAGAGATTTCGAGTTATCCCGATCCGATTTTGTCCCGATCTTCGCGTCGTTTGACGACTGCTCCGACGCGCGGCCCCAGTTCTCGGGTAGGGCGCCTCGGCCACCAAGGGCAAGCGCCACCACGGACGCGGTGTGTTCGCCGTGGGTTTGCCGCGGTGCCGGCTTCGTCTGCTTGGGGCCCGCGGCCTCGCGGGCCGGGCCCCCAGATCGCGATGCCGCGGATGCGGGGCGTTTCTCTCGCGGGTGTCCCGCGCGGAACGTGTCCGTGCAACCGCGCATCCGTGGGATCGCGCCCTGGAGTCCAGACCACGGGGGCGACGATACGGACCTCCTCGCCGCTCGTGAAGACTGAGTGGATCGGGGGCCTCCGCGGAGCCCTCTCGGAACGCAGGAGGGGTTCCAAGAAGCCCGCCGCCCTCCGACAAAGCTCGGCCCCCTCCGCCCCGCCC